CTTAATACTATTTTTTCATCCTGCTGGATGCTGTAACACCCTAGGTGACCAGAAGGTTATAGTCAGAGAAAAATGGTGTTTGAACTAGGTGTCTAAAGGTCATCTTTAAACTTTGTAGCATCATTTCCAGATAAGACAGTTCGGAAGTGAAGGAGTTTGCACTCCAAAATTCAGATTAGCCCCACATTGTGTGGGCAGATCTTCATGACAGTGATATTTCCTCTTGACATTTGAGCACTTGCAGCTCTCACAGCCTCAAGCCTCCAACCAGGGAAAGATCCCATCCCTGGGAGGGAGGCAGGCCCTGTTCCAGGGCAGGAGCACCTCAAGTCCTAAACATGTCCAGGCTGCTTTTAGGTGCTCCAGCTACATAGTAAAAGTAATTCCTGCCTGAAACAACTTCTGAATACACTGGCACCACCAAGGTAAGTCAAAACACAGCCCAAGCAGCCCCCTGTGAGCAGTGCTGTGACTGCTGAGCAGAGTCCCTGCTGAACCTCAGCTTTGGTACCTTCAGTTAAAGTGCTTTCCTGACACCACTGCTACATTTGGCTGGGAAAACTGGTGCTGAAATTATTTTTAATGCAGCCAAAGAGAGGAAATGGGTTCATTTGTGGTGTTAAGGTCTGCCTAGCAGATGGCCCCTCAATACCACAAGAATCAGGTATGAAGAATACCAAGCTGTGGAATAATTCAGGGTTATATTCTGACCATTTGAGCTGGTTATTTAGAGAGCAGCAAGGGTGACATCTGAAATTCAGGCTGCTCTGGTGACAGCAGGACCCTCGGTGCAGCAGGGACCTGGGACTGGGACATCATTTACACAGAACTGCTGGAGGACATTTTAAATACTTGCAGCTGGACAAAACAAACAGTAGGTCTAGAATTATTCTCATTATTCTCACTGGCTGTGAGCAGCTCAGTGCCCCCAGACCACCTGGCTGCTCAGTGCCTACCTCATGGCCTTTGCTGTGGCACTCGTGCACCCTTCAAGGGGACAGGGGCAGCTGACACCAGGTTCAGCTTGTTCACCTGGGTTTTGCAGCCAGGAGTGCAGAGAGGTGAGTGGGGTCTGGTAACCTACTAAATGGTCTTGTGTAGCTGGCAGCTGGGAGGTTTTTTAGGGAGTCACTCCACAGGCAGTGCACAAGCACTATCCTGCCAGGAGCCAGCTGTGCTCTCTCTGATGGCTGGGAGACTCCCCCTGTATTTGCCCTTGAACAGTTCTGAAAAAAAAACTAAAAAAAAAATCTGTGAATGTCTGTTAATGTGCAGAGCACAGGGACCTCTCTGGCTTTTAGCACATCCCAGGAGCCTTAATAGGCCTTGAAAAAAGAGATGAGAAAAAGCCATTAAACTCTCTCCTTGTTTCCACAGCTTATTATCTACCTTCTTCTTTGACAGCCTCTTTTGTGATTCAGCATAGGGCACACAGTGTTTATGTGCTTATGCCTCACAGCTCCTTTGTCTTGCTGTGCTAGGAAAGGGATCCCGAGGATGCCCTGCTGTGAGAAATGTATCCTAAGAAATTGGTCTGTTCAGAATTGTTGTTGTCTCTAAGTTTAAAAGAGTTAATTATTATTTTCTCCTTTTTGTTTGTTTTTCTTGTTTTTCTTTTCTGCTGTGAGCAGAGACTCTGCTTCTTAACACCTCTGTAGCCTTTGAGCTCTGCTCCTGGAGCTTTACCTGCCTTGCACCCACCTGCCTGGGTCACAGGGAGAGGGAAAAGGCCAGTGACAACTCCAGATAGTCAAAGCCCTTCCCTTATTGCTCTGGAAATTTTTGCACAGGAAACACCCTGTTTCTGTACCAGGCTGTCTTTCAAACAGACATTACTGACTTCAACATTCCAAGCACTAAATTTATTTTGCTTTTCCTTTGCCTTTTTCATGTCTATTTCCCCCAGTGTTAAATATTTTTTTTTTTTAAATTACAGTTTGATGTCCATTATATTTAATTTCCAGGTTCCCTAAGACACACATTCCTCCCCAGAGCTCTCCCCTGGCATGGAGGGCCATGTTACCACTCAGGTCTCCTGGCTCCACAAGGACCACAGTGCTGTGCTCACCATCTTTTGGGGAGGCTGAAAGGCTGGAGAAGAGCACAGACCACAGGTCTGCACTAATAAACACCACAAGAACAACAGAAATATGTGAAGCCTGTATCAGCAGCATGATCCAGGCTGGGAGACCCAAGCCTGCAGCTCAGGGCCACTGCATCTCTGAGACACTCTGGGGCTTACAGCCCTACAAGGACATGATGATTTATAAAGATATCTATTAAAAAAAAAAAAAAGAATCTTTAAGAAATAAAAAACACAACCCCAAAACTTGAAACAAGAATTCCAGTGATTTCTGAGAGCAGCAAGAGGAGCTGGCAGTGGGAAGCAGAGCTGCCATGTTCTTCAGACAGATAACCCAAGCTTATTTTAAATCAAAACCAACCAGAGTATTGCTTCTACTGCATTTTCCAGTCTTTGTCCTGCAACATTTAATCCTCTGTGATTAATTACACCCTGATTTACTGAGATCAGGTGGGACCAGGGAGAGTCATGTACAAAATAATAATAATTATTTACATAAGGCTCTTAGTTCATGTAAATTGTAACTTTTTTGAATGCTGGCAAAGGGAGTTCTTTTCATTACCACAATTTCTGTGGCTGTAATTAGTCATGTAAGAGGATTATTACTTCTCTTATCATTAGTAAGAGAGTAAAGATAATTTGCTGTAACAGTGTTGACTTCAGTGCCATTGGTGGCTGTGGCTGGTGGGATTTCCACATCGGGACAATGGATTTACAAGATAGTGCAACTCATAGATTGGTGCGAGCCAGAGGGAAATATCTGTGCCTCTTTCCTGCCCCTTTCCAGCCATTCTCGAAATATTTGTGCGGGAAATGGGTCTGGATGCTGGCTGGACCACTCGATAGCCAGCAGAGAGGCACAGCGGCAAAGCTGCCGGCGCTGGGTCCCGCCGGGGACACGGCATTTAGCGCTGCCCCCGCCGGGAACGCCGTCCCCTGCGCGGCACCGTGCCCTGGGCTCCGGCACAGAGCCCGGGCATCGCCCGTGGGGCAGCCACGCCGAGCCCTGCCCGGCCCCGTGTCCGGGCGCTGCGATCACCCCGGGACAGCGCGGGCAGCTCCCAGCCCGGCAGGGAATTCACCCAGCCGGAACAGAGCCCCCGGCCAAGGCGTTTGTTTACCTGGAGATCGCTTCTCCCGGAGCCCCGGCACCGAGCCGCTCTGGCAGCTCCGCGGCCGCTCGGGGTGCGGGGCACCCTCGGTCCGGCCGTCCCGCACGGGGCTGGAGCGCGGCTCTCGGGCACCGTGTGCCCGTGATTCTGTGTGCCCGCGGCTCTGTGTGCCCGTGATTCTGTGTGCCCGTGATTCTGTGTGCCCGTGATTCTGTGTGCCCGCGGTTCTGTGTGCCCGTGATTCTGTGTGCCCGTGATTCTGTGTGCCCGCGGCTCTGTGTGCCCGCGGCTCTCCGGCACCGTGTGCCCGCGGTTCTGTGTGCCCGCGGCTCCCGGGCACCGTGTGCCCGCGGCTCTCCGGCATCGTGTGCCCGCGGCTCTGTGTGCCCGCGGTTCTGTGTGCCCGCGGCTCTGTGTGCCCGCGGCTCTGTGTGCCCGCGGCTCCCGGGCACCGTGTGCCCGCGGCTCGGTTCCGAGCGCTCAGCCGAGCATTGCTCCGGGCAGCTTGGAAAACCCCCAGGGAGCCGAGCCCCATCCTACTCGGAGCGGCCCTGTGCCGTCTTGCTGTTGCTACAGTCGAGGGAAACGTAACGAAATCGCTCCGGATTCCACACTGGGGTTTAGGCAATTCCTGTCCTTTCTTTCAGAGGAGAAACCAGTTTCACCGGCAGCTGTGTAGTTCCAGCCAAGTTCCCAAATTATCAAGGAGACAGACGTGCTGCACCGTAGCACCTTTTCCCCAAATGAGTCCTTTTGCCACACGATTTTCCAGGTGATCAAACCAATTTTGCATTATCAAAACGACATCTTGGCACATTTTCAGTAAATGGTCTGAAACATCCCACAGCATTCTCCTGGGAAAACTGGCAGCCCACAGCTTGGACAGGCACATTCTTCGCTGCATTAAAAAGTACCTGGATGGATGCGCCTCAAATCCTGTGTCCAGTTCCGGGCATGAAAGACACTGAAGGGCACGTCCAGAGGAGGGCAAAAAAGTTGGTGAAGGGGCTGTTTCTCCATCCTTATTTTTTATCTAAAGTGCAGAGTTTCGGGTGACTGACCTCTTGAGCTACATGGCCAGTTACATTCTTAGTCTTCAGAAATGCTGATAAATAATTGCATCATGGTGGACCCTGCCCATCCCCTTAGCAGCCCAGAGGAAAGGCAAGAAGCGGCCAGTTTTCCCAAAGTGCAGAGGTTTTGTTTAAAAAAAACACAAACTTGAAGGTTATTACAAGCAGAAATACTCTGAAGTGCCAAATGAAAAAAAAAAAAAAAAAAAAAAAAAAAAAAAAAAAAAAAAAAAAAAAAAAAAAAAAAAAAAAAAAAAAAAAAAAAAAAAAAGAGGGGGAATACCAGGCTTCACACTCTCTTTTTCAGTATTAATTGCTCGTAGCAGCCAAGCTGAAGGAAATGGAACAAATTCACTTTTTGTTTGCAAACAGTGAGAAAAATTGCCTTGTGAGTAGAAAAGTGCGGGTGGTTTTTTTTTCCCCCTCTTAGGTCAGCACATCAATACATTAAAATGTCCGACAGGGCTCTCCTTACTGATGGGTGGGGTATGACCAGAAGTTAGATTTGAAGGAAGTTCAGCTGATAAGAAACACTTGGATCTGTAGCTGGTTGGCAGCTGAAGCTTCGCCTTTCCTGCGCTCCGGCAGAGCCCGTGCTCTTCCCGGCTGCGCCCTGCGAGCCGAGACCGCGCAGCTGGGCTCGGCCCGGGTTCGGTGCAGCCCTGGCTTTGCCGCTGCGGCCCCCGGGAGCTCCGGGGAGGGGACGGGACAGCGCCGGCAGCCCCGGGGGACATGAGAGGGCAGGGCCAGCCCGCAGGTGCGGTGGGTGCGTGTCCGGGAGAGCGGCGGGCGCGGTGGAGCTCGGGCTGCGCCCGGGGAGGGGACACCGGCACGCCAGGAGCTCAGGGCTGGGGGCAAACGTCCCCAGCTTCAGCGGTTCTTTTGCTGGAAAAAGCTCAGGCAGCCTTAAGCGTGAGTCCTCATTCAAGCTCCACTGCGTGTTTCCAGCGGCTGAGGAAGAGCTCTACAAACTTTAAAGGATGCAAACGGGGGTAGAATCCGCCTCGTCTAGGTTAGAAAAGACCTTTAAGCTCACCGAGTTCAATTTCTGCCGCAGCACTGCCAGGCCCACCACTGAACCCTGTCCCTGAGTGTCGCGTTCAGCGCGGGCAGCCCTGATCCCTCACAGCCGCGATTGCTTGGAAATCTGGTGGCTGCCAGCCCTGACCCCAGATGCCACCGGGCAGGACAGGCCGGCAGAAAAGAGCATCCCTGTGCCCCTCTCCTTTGCCCAGCCCTGTGCCCCTCTCCTTTATCCAGACCTGTGCCCCTCTCCTTTGCCCAGCCCTGTGCCCCTCTCCTTTGCCCAGCCCTGTGC